TAATATTATAAATAGTATAATATAATAATAATTTAATAACTTAATAATATCATAATATAATAATTTAATAATATAATAACTTAATAATATAATACTATAATACTATAAATACTATATAATATTCATGTAATATTCATATATTTATACACACTGTATATATAGTACCATATAATTTTATCGTATAATTTTTCATAATATTTACTATTTTGTCTTTTTTGTTTACAGAACGGAGTGAATTGATGTTTTACTGAAATGTGCCCATCGTACTTAAAAACAAGGTAAGCGAAAGTTTTTAGAGATGTTCTGAGAGAAATTTGTTTCGAATAAATCATATAATTATCCAATCGTCTAGTCGTTCGTTTAGGAATAATATATTTGTTCGTCATGAAGAAACTCACATCGCATATAAGTCATCGATGTTAATTAACATTTTAGCGAAATATGTGGCCACATCTATCGCAAACGGTTCTTAATGAATAACAGTCCTTAATAAGCATCGGTCGGACGGACTGTCGGTACACCATCGATGTTATTAGAACGGAATGCGACATATCGATCTCCGAATGTACGCTTGAATCCGTGCGTTTCCGTTTGGTCCGCGAATTCTCGCGGCATGCCTTCGATATATGGAGCGTGAGGATGCCAGCGGCATCACGCAAATACGCGGTTTGTAGTGATTGAGATTAACCGATTATCGTGCTTATGATGATTAAGTACATCTTATGAAATATTCGACCGTGCGTACTTTTCATCTTTTACCGCTCCAAGTATCATAACTTCGATATATCACTGTCAGCATTGAGAGGGACAAGAAACACTCTTTACACGAGAAAATCTATTTTCGTAGCATCGTAATAATTCTATTTGCAACTTTATCATGAGATTTAATAAGATGAATGAAAGCGTGATTACATAATACCTTGTTGTTAAAAGAGTTATTATTTTAGCTGTTTTATCGAGTTAATATAAAAGTTTTAAAGATAACGCTTATGTTTAAAAATGAATATAACTATGTGTGTAAATTAATAGCTATAAAATAGTCGCACATATATTCAAAAATATTGATATTCGAGAAATATGAAAATATCAGTAACTATACGGATTACGGATATTGATAAAATAATAGAATCATGGTAATCGTAATTAATCGAAATTATAAAAAGCGCTTCAACAGATATTTAGTATTTTTTTTTAATTATAAAGATGTAGCACAGTTTTAAATTGAAATTTTAATTTACATTAATTACAATTTATTGAGACTTAATTTAATTTAATTACAATCTATTGAGACTGAAATTAAGAATCGCAAAAAATTAGTTCCGATATCTTTTATATGTGAAGTGAATTCTTTTATCAATTTTTTCAACTGTTCTAGATTCTTGCAAAAATAAATGCTTTTATCGCATATATATATATATGCACAATAGAATATTACATTTCCACGAATGATATAAGATACAGAATTTCGTAATTGGTACACCATTAGCACACGCACCGCAATAATAATTACATTAGGAGGTGGCTTTTATCGTTTCCGCTTCGGATCGATGTACTACTATATGATCGTGATCGTGCTTTGAATTCCATGTTCACTCATTAAATGAATGTGCCGTGGACCGTGGATTTTAAATGCACTTTTATATTGGACTTTAAGTAAAGTAATTGATAGTTGATATGATTAAAATGAATTCTTTTCGGACGTTACACAGCTTTTGCATATATCGCGGCTGATGATTTTCAATCTCTATAGTGCACTTTAATTGACTCGAAATGATTTTAACTATTGTATGCAACGCTGGTTGCAATATTCAATTCACGTTTTCAGTCTGACCTACCGATTTTGTTATCGAACCGCTGCATTTTTTTTTTTTTTTATTCATTTATTGACTTCACAAAAACGCCCACTTGAATTCACCAGCAAATTTATATTTAAAATAAATGTCATTTTTCCGATAAACAATAGATACAAATAAAAAATTATGTGTCACGATGTAACACAATATTCTGCTCGCGATATGCATGACAAAATACATATATGTATTGTTTTTAGCAATATGAATGTTAATTTTTATTGCAACTTTATATTGTACACATTACTGTAAGATCATATATTTTGGTTTTATGACAATCGTATAGTACAATTTACGAGAATTTGCGCATTATTAGGTGAATTAAATTTATATATTTATTCGCAAATTTACAAAAATTAAACTGGAAAGCTATGCTGGAACTGACAAGTTTTTGTGCACACAAAGGTGTTACATTTAACTTTAGAATTATAAATTTCACATTTCAGCAACTTTTGAAAGAAGTTGTTTAGAGGTTAAATATTATTCTTATATATATGTTTATTCCCATGTGTGCATTATATGCTTGCATACGAATTTCACGATTTCTAATAATTTCAAAATATTTTATTCTACAAATAAATTTAGTTAGTGATAAAATATCTAATGTAGATCTGCATCGCATTAGAATAACGACGTAAAGTTTTTAATGGCTGAATAAGAGGGGAAACAAGAGGATACTTAAAATATTTTCATTATAATGATAAACAAATATTTATTTTTTAAATGTTACGCGAGAACAATCTTGATTTTATTTACAAATGTTTTCCCCGGCAAATAATCGTCACTATATGTTTTCTTGCGCGGAATGCAAATTGTGACGTAAAAAACACTGCACGATTTGCATTTATTTATAATGCGTATTTTTTATAAATACGGATGTAGCCATAAAAGGCGCCATTTGTACGCGGTATTTAAAAACCGGCATACTGCGAAACGAGCGATAAATTTTTTCGTATGCAAATTTCTCTCGAAATAATCGCGCACGCGCGTGCGAGTGTATGATGCACGATTTAACGGAAACACGATCGGTTTAAATACGAATAATTTCCTTCCGTGAAAGAAAAGCGGGAGGTTACCGACCATTCGGTAACGAGTCGGTGCCGAGAGGTAAAATCAGAAATAGATGCAAAGCAGGCAATTAACGGCGGGGGTGGGGGGGGCGAGGGGATCGAGCGGGGAAAATCGCGCCCGCGCGGCGATTGGCTCTCGGGCGGTAAACGATCTTGGCGGATCCCCCTCGTCGCGGGCGCGCGCGGCGTGCATTCGGGTAAATTGCATTTCGATCGACCCAGTTTTTATTTCAATTTGTCGTGAATTTATGTGCGAATTATCGGGAAAAGAACACGGAGAGGAATCGAGGGAGGAGACGGAGGTGGAAGGGAGCCCCCGTGGGAAAAAGGAACAGCAGAGGAGGGAGAGGGAGGTATCGGAAGCAGAGAGGAGGGAAAGGTGGCACGATTTACTCGCGTCGTTTCTCGGCGTTCTCTCGCTAACTACAATTCAATTTGCATTTCATCCAATAAATCGCGTCTCTCGTCGCACCTTTGCCAGGCATACACGCCGACGTGTTTTCCCGTGAATTCTTCATCTCCTCACCTCTCGACGTGGCGTAAAACGTGTCACAAATTCCTCCGATATTATCCTTCTGATTTAACGAACATCATTCTCTCTCTCTCTCTCTTTCCTCCTACGAGATGTCTCGGGATTGATACAATTATTTCTCTCTGTTGTTTGTTTACTTGAGGCTGAGAATAACTAGAGAACTAGAGATTTATCTTATCATAAACAATACGTGCGTTTACTAACGAACATCATTCTCTCTCTCTCTCTCCCCCTCTCTCTCTCTCTCTCTTTCCTCCTACGAGATGTCTCGGGATCGATACAATTATTTCTCTCTGTTGTTTGTTTACTTGAGGCTGAGAATAACTAGAGTGTTTACAATTTATCTTATCATAAACAATACGTGCGTTTACGATAAGAAACATGAAGTTTCTTGACACAGGGGGGTATGTATATTTTATTTATCAGATCCGATAGGTTGTTAGATACTGCGTGTATCAACTGCGTGAAGTGCTCACGATAAGGAGCATAAAATGTTTACACGCGAGGCCATGCGTGTTTTAATTATTATCGTTTATAACAGATAGGCGCCAGATGAAATCTGTATTGAAACAAATTATCCTCACACAAAAATCCAAAGCAAAATTAAAATAATTCTCGACGGGAAATATAAATAGATAGAAAACTTCTCTAGAACTTCTAGAACTGGTGGTTCTCCAGAGATATTATAAACCACGAGCGATATCGCATCGCATAGATATAAATTTAGTTTTAAAGTTTATATTCTAAATATAAAAGCATTTACTATATAGTTAAATGTATAAGGTTATTGACGGGCAGTTATGTTATATTAATAAAATAGAATATTGACATCATTAGGAACGTATCGATACGAGCGTTATTATAAATATCGCGATATTTCGATCTCTCCCAGAATACGGGAGCCTCTTAAACGGCATACAAATAGTTGGCGTTCATTCTTTGCGTGACACGAGCACGCTAATACTTCACCGATTTTACAAGCAACGACCCATTCTCCTTCGCTCGCTCGGTTATATTGCAATCGTAACCCTTTTCCTCCGTGCGTGCGACACGGAAGAAGATCCACTCCGATAAAAAGAGCCGTTGTGTCGACCGTTGCAACAAATACATTTACCGGTCGATCCGACGAATTTTCTGGCCAATGGTTTACAACATAATGATATTACGTTAGCAGGCCCAGCAGCGGTAAATTAAGATTGAAACGAATCCAGAGGCCGAAGATTGAAACGAATTTTGTCAGGAATTAAGCTTTTTGCTCAGCAAAAAAAATAAAAAAATAAAAAAAATGCCAAATTTGACGAGAGATAGATGCTGGAGCGCAAAACTGTATTCCAATTCGGGAATCAATAGGTACGTAAAATCGTTGGAAGTGATCGTTACATCGCAACATCCGATTTCGAAATCGGTGACGTTTATTCGTTTTACGATGCGGAATAACACGCGAGGCAAAATTCGCATTAATATTTCTCGCAAATATTTTTACGAGACAGATTTCGCGTGGATTAAAATTACCAGGCAGCCCAGAAATTTGTCATAAATTTGGTTGAGAGCCGTCGCGTAAAAAAAAAAAAAAAAAAAAAAAAAAAAAAAAAAAAAAACTGATACATACTTAGATAG